TAAGTTGTGTTTAAGATTATCATGATATCATAATATTGTGAATTTTTTAAATATACATTTTTATAACGTATAATAAAACTTATAGTTTGACAAAACTAAACATTTTATATCAAACAAATACCACAAGTTGTAAAATATGCGTATTAAAATATAATTTAATTCAGCAGTTAAAAATAAAATATTATTTGTTATACATGTGAAAACTATAAACATGTTTTTGAACCATGAAGAAATTAAATTTAACTGTAATTCTAAATTTAATTTTTATGACATTTTTGTCACAGTTATTAAAAATTCTAACAAAACTAAAAAATATTAATCTTTCTATAAGTTTCAAATTCTAAATTTAATATTATTATACTTAAATGTTGTATTATTTAGGCTCAAATGTTTAATATATTTAACTAAATGTATTTTTAATTGATAGATTAAAGTATTTTGCTTAAACTTAAAAGCAAATATCAATATCTGCTAACAAGAAAAATTCAATTGTGCGAAATTTGTCTTATCTGTTTTAGTTTTAATTTTAATATCCTCGGGTCTGTTGAGTTTAGCATGTTTAAACATATAACAGTAAAATAATGGAAACAAAAATTCCGTTTCATCAACCAATAAGGTCACAAAAGTTGTGTTTGTATTCAATGTAATATATTGTTTTAAATCTATAATTTAAACAGTTTAGCGCTGTAGATCGTTAACTTTCTTGGAAAACATCAGCTTATAAATGGAACATTTTTCATTTTTATTGCAGACCATCGATAAATTATCGTATAGCTATAACTGTGGGGTGAAAGCAAAAAATATTTAAATGTTATAGTAATGAAAAATGTGCCAAAATTACCGATATCTGCCTATAAATATATTTTGAAAAGACCTCAGGACATAAACTTTCTTTTCAAACAATATTTTATTTTTATCATTTTTATCAATTATAATTAATTGCATTTGATAATATTTTATGATTTATTTCAAAACCTTAAAATATAAATGTATAAATAGTTTCAAACTATAAGTAACATACGGTATTTTAAAACTAGATCTAAATAAAAAACATAGCGAATGTCTCACAAAATTACATTAAATGATTATACCTGCTCCATTGCATTTAAAAACTGATGCTGAGCGTGTTCTATATTTATTTATCCCTAACATTGTTAAATTTTTTTAAGAATGTTTGCTGACATTTCTTCGCCAAATTTCATTATAAGCTACCAAGTAATTTGAAAAAATATCAAAAGATCGTACATTTATATTCTGTTCATGATCTATTGAAGAACTGTGAAAAAAAAACTTTTTAGTTAAGCTCTTTAAAGTAAAAATAAAATACATCTTAATCCATTAAAATTGAAGGTAATAAATGTATATCTCTAATAAATAAAATAAATCATACAACATATATATATATTTAAATTGGTTAAACAGTTAAAACCTCTAAAAAAATAAAAGTTAAATTTTAATATAAAATCGTAAAATTATAAAATATAATGCTTGCTAGTTAGTTATCCTATAAATATTACATTAATTATTAGTACTAGAACAAAATTAATAGTTTTAAATTTTTTAACATAAGAGTTATGTACCTTATATCCCAGTTGTATTCATCCATTTATAGTTGCTGGCAAATACTAGTACAGTAGTACGATTGTTGTTTTAATTAACCCTAATAAAATCCTACCCTTTTAGAGTATTAATTTCTATTATTATTCATTGCTTTTTTTCTATTTTATAAATATACCTTGTTTGTATTTTGTATTAGATAATATTTGATTTATTTTATAAATCAAATTTTATAAATATTAATAATATATAACTATAAAGTATGAATAAAATTCACACTTGTGCTTATCTAAAGCATAGCGAGATGAGTGATCATCAACTGGTCTATTAGTTTTTTAACATTTTTAGTAGTTTATTTATGTTCCTTTAACTATAATAAAAATACTGATTTTAATTACCAATAAGATTGTACAGAACCGCACTATTAAATAAAGCAATAAACAAGATTAACAGAATTAACCAACAAATTGATGTATATTAAAAACATTAAATATTTTCTATTATCTTTGTTGTTAATCGTTTGAATATGTTAGGTATGTATATTTCTTAACAAACTTTGATAAAAATTAAAATGTCATAATTTCTGCAATAATAATAAATAGAAGTTTTTCAAAAACGGAAATTCATCTTTATGTATTCCAATGGTTTTATGATTTTTTGCTGTTTTGCAAAAAGTAATTAAGAGAAAGAGAGTTTCGGGTAACTATTGCACAGTACATTATCAGAAATATATATATTTCTAAGAAGATCTTGAACACTACAAATAAAATATAACAATGGATTTTTATGTTTATCGTCATTTCTTTTTCTATAGTAATTTATGAAAAAATAGTTATTTCATTAAATTACGTATAACCGACTGGCTGAATAAATAACACTTTAATTAATCATTTAAATTGAAACCATTTTTTTTTTCTTTAATTATATCATTAACAAAATCATTTACACGGTTTTTATATGTAAATTAACTATTATCTTCATACTGCACGAGAAACAGTTACTTTTTGTAGACAGCATCACATTATAATATTACAATAATATTTACATTGATCGATTGTATATTATTATCAGAGGTTCGCAGAGATCTCATTATGCACGAATAATCCATCGATGAGAGTATTATTATATTGATATAGCTGAATTGGATGTCACTCTTAGACATGCTTTGAATTTCTCAGTGACGCAATACACGCAATTTCATCAACAACGATAATTTTTAGTTAAGTAGAAAATAATGTTTTTATCAATTTTCATAAAATTTAATGTAATACACTTATATATAATATAATATATGTAATAAGTAGGGCTCGGAAGTTGATGACCTTAAAAACAATAAAAAATGACCATAAAAATGGCAAAAAATGTCCTAAAAAAATGACCTAAAAAAATTACAAATATTAGTTTTATATTAATAAAAATACATTTTTTTTAAATATTTTACACTATTTTACTATAAAATTCAAAATATGATATAAAAATGACAAAAATGTCCTTAAAATAGGAAAATTAAAAAATTAAAAATAATTGTTTTTCAAAGTTTCAAAGTTATCGGCATAATGGTCAACAAGAAACGATAAGAAATAAACAAGTGTGAAATCAGTAAAAATAACTAAAAATGTGGGAAATGACCTAAAAATCTCAAAAAATTACTTAAAAAGTAATAAACACCAAAAAATGCAAAAAAAAATGCAAAATAAAAATTAGTTATTTAGATTCACATGCTTATGAAACAGATTTGTAGCCAGGAGAGCATCGTCTAAAAAGTTCCAAAAAAAAAAATCCAAAATGCATCAACTTCCGAGCCCTAGTAATAAGCAAAACGCGGTAAAGCATATTGATATAAATATAACAGTATTAAGCACGTCATCCTATTACATAAAAGTTTACAATTTCAATAACTAAATTTATAAAGTTTAATTTATAAAATAAATCAAATATTACCTAATACAAAATACAAACAAGGTATATTTATAAAATAGAAAAAAAGCAATGAATAATAATAGAAATTAATACTCTAAAAGGGTAGGATTTTATTAGGGTTATTTAAAAGAATAGGTTTCTAAAGCATACTGTAATCAAAAAATTATAGTAAAAAATTGTTGAAAAAATAACTATATATTAATAAATAATAAAAAAATAAAAATTACTAAATTATATGTATATGACAGTTTCAGTGTTTAAAGTAAATTATTAAAATTGAATCATTTTTTTTTCGTTTCTAAAAATATGAATGTATTGTTGTTGTTGTTTTTAATATAAAATATATTATCTATTGTTTTTCAAAATGAATATCTGCTAATGTATTTTTTACAAACGTCATAACTGTATACAAAACACATTATAGTTAGGTGGGTGTTATTCAAAAGCAACACATCACAGTTTTGAATTAGAACATTATAAATATTTATGAATATAAATATTATGCATTAAGAAAATAATACCGGTCATTGTCCGGTATATTATACTATTATTCATTAACCATTGGTTTTAAAAGCACAACGCTTTAATTTTTTTTTTTCATATTTTATATCACTTTTACGTTAAATTGCGGTAAATTAACTTTTCTAACCACAAGAAATTTGATTGGTTCTTAAATAAACTAAATTATTGCGTGCTATGTATTTGGCTTAAACTTTATGTATTATATCTTTACTCTCAAATTTATTTTTAGTAATTTTATTATATATCACAGTTCAATTGATTCACACGTTTTACTCATTTTCAAATTAGTTTTTAATTAAGCTATTTTCGGAATGTTTTAAATTGCACTATTCATACGCACAAAATATCATTGTGAGCTCAACATATGTACACACATTTTATTATTAATACACATAAAGCATTAATATAATATCTATATTTTGTTTAAATGTATTAATATTAAAATATTATTTACTTATGAGTTTCTTTGAATAATAATTATAAATTTGTTTACGGTTTTATTTCATATCAACGCATGCATATCGAGGTAATTTATTTATTGAATTCAGTAGAGTGTGGCTTCCATCATAAATTAATTTTCCAAAATAATGTTAATTCTTTGTATAAACGAATCCACTCCCCTTTGTCGTACTAAATCTGGTAAATATAAATCATTAGAGACATGTCGTCGTAATCTCGAGGGGTGTGACTGTAGGCCATATACATATTCATGGAATATACATGTCTAATAGTTGTTAGGTTAGCTGAAATATTATATGATATAAATATATAACTTTAAACATAAATAACAATACAATAAAAAGTTTATTAGATATCATATTTTATATGTATAATAATAGTGAAGTTTACGAGAATACGTTGTGCATAAAACACAAAAATATAAAGATGTAATATATCTACTGACAAATGAGTTATAAGCCATACATGTATCAAAGTTATTTAAAATATTGTTAATGATAAGTCAAACAAATCTTCTTCAACTATCTTAATTTATTTAACAGGTTTCACGATGTACACAACATGTGTCATATGGCTCGCATTCGTTCCACTATATTTTGGCATTGGCAACCACACTCCTCTAAGAATAACTACCATGTCAGTAACCATTAGCTTATCCGCTAGTGTAACTATAGTTTGCCTATTCTCTCCAAAGGTAAGTAATATACAATGTTATTAAATTTTATCTGTATAGACATGATTATATCATAATATGATCTGCAGTAGGATTCGGGTATAATTAACTTTTTTATGAGCAAAGCGAAGCATCAGTAAATTTTTAGTTTACCCTTTGAATTTGGTAAATTTAAAATAAAATAATGTGAACATTATTTTTTTAATTACAATTTCTGGTTTGTTGTAACAAGGTCGGTCCAAACAAGACCGAATAATGTGATACATTAATAAATTAAATTACAAATGTATGTTATTATTATAACATAATGTGCACTTAATATAGCATAACTTCAATTCAAAATGTTCAAATAACAACTTCTGTACTAACAAAAAAAAAAAAAAATATTCATTATACAGTTTTATATAATGATAAAATTATTATTGTATTTGTACTTATATTTCTAATTATGAGTTAATTTGAAATATTTATATACTTACAATTTATTAAAATAGTTTTTAAGTATGAACCGATTTTCAATAAATTAAATGAAAATAATTGAAATAACGCTGTATGATAGTACAATATTAATAAAATAATAACTAAGATTTATGTGTTATTGTACAATTTAATTTTTATATGCCTAAATTAGTAAATGTAATATTTTCAGATAATTAAAATTTCTTTTGAATACAATAAAATATGATCCTATAATATAAAACTCATAGGCAGCAGAGTTAGATAATAAAATGACAATGACACAATTAGTTTAATCATATTAATTTATTAATGATTTACATCGCCCTTTAAAATCTAACCATATTACAATGCTGTGAAATATACGTTAGGCCATAACACTGATTATAGTATTATAATGTACCTACATTTTGTGTTCGAACAAACTGAATAATTTTACTGTTATCTAATTACATACATTACAAATTGTCCTAACATAGTAGTATGTAATATTATGAGCACATTGTGTGATTGATATTCTTAATTTAAATATTATTTTAAAATTGATTTTAAAATTGATATTAAAATCGTTTATAATAACAACTCAATAGTCAATAACATATAAATTATTTATTTAAAAAATATATATATTTTTAACTTAAAAAAATACAGTAAAATCTTAACAACTTGTTTAAAATCATAAAACTAAACCATTTTCGAAGATCTTGAAAATTTACCCAATTTTTAATACCTACAGTATAGTTTTAAAAACAAATTATATAATATCACGAATGCTTTCCACTTAATTTTCTTTGTTCAGTGAAAATTAAAGAATAAATTAATAATTTAAGTTTTGGATAATAATTGGACTACTTATCGTTCTGAATTAATATCAGTGCTTGAGATGAAAACTTTTATATTATAGCTTTATGCAAAACTTGCTCATACACTAGGTGACTATTTTAGATTACACATAGAACTATTATTCACCTTGTTCTAGTTGTATATAATTTTGTGTCATCCGGAACGAAACGTGCGTCAAAGTATGATGCCAAATATGAAGTTAACGGGCACTAAAACATTTACAACATCGAATACAAATGCATTTTGTAACAATTCAACAAGACGGCGCAGCTCATTAGCATATAAAGGTAACAATTAATTATGTTAACTAAAAAAAAATATAAAAATAAGCCGTTAAACTATAATAATAATACTTATAATATTATTTAAAACAAATAACGGATTATAAAATGTTAGTAGGTAAAATTTAAACCATGTGTTTACCACACTTTTATTACATTGTTTATTGTTTATCATTATGTGTAAAGGTTCAAATAGGTAATGTAACTGCAAACAGTAAGTGGTCGATCACAAATGAGTTGGTCAGTACGAATAGCTTTAACGGTATGGCTGACACATAACCGCACTTGGGAAGCAAATACATTGTAGCTGATGAGATTACCTATTCAGACAATTCTAAATAACATCCATTCATTCATGTCGTTTCACATCGGTTGGTTTTCGCGCAACAACACAATAATAGTATACACAATTCAAGGGAATAAAATATATCGTGGGCTGAAGGGTACATGAATATTTAAAATACAATGGAAACGATTTAGTGTAAAATATTAAATATTATATTAATGTAATTTTCGGGCATGCATACATTTTGGTTATAAGATATACAAGGCAAGATATGTCGAATAAGGACCAAAGTAATCACCGTAAAAAAAAATGTTGACACTGGTATACCTATTTCTGTTAAACTAACATAAAACATCTTTAATGTCTGTAAACTTTAAATTAGTTTATACAAGGTTAGTTTGAAAATTTTATTCCTTGACAAAAAAAAAAAAAAAAATATATATATATATATGTTTATACAATTTAATATGTAACATAATATTCGAAAGTTTTCTAACGTCATCATTAAACGTATTAATTTTCACATTTGGATAATATATTTTTATTATTTAAAGTTACTCGTTTATTGCTATGATTATAAGTACATAAAATGATATTATAGAAACGTTAATTTGATAACATAACCAAATAATTAATAAGGTAATAACTTATTTTTTTTAAAAAATACTTACATAAAAGTATCGATAAAGAAGTAAATTATCTAAGTTAAAATTTTTCTGAACATAAAAATATCGCAGACAATATTCTTCACTCGTGACATGAAGACATGTTACATTGTTTCAAAGATTGATTTTTTTCTCTAACTAAATATTTCATTTAAAAATTATGGCTTTAAATAGCTAACTTTTTATTTTCTACTCATGTATTTGCTTTTAATAATATAGTATATCATTATTTTAAAAAAACAACATTTTTCCAAATTAAACACAGATTTTGTATAAAATTCAAAAAACAAAAAATTAAATAAAAGGATGAAATATAAAAATTTCCAACGCAATTTTCTTGCATTTGATGAATATTGCAAACGATACAATATATATCTAACCTCCTATCGTAAATCTGCTACTACAATAATGGTGAAATAGTGGCACCAAAAAGAGAATTAAGACCGAGCATAACGTATGTGTAATAAATCAATCGTTTCAAGTGACTTAATATTTTAAAATAGAAATATTGTATACATAACATGTACATATTTTACGTCTATGAGAATTTTGTTGTCGTAAAATTTGGTTGGCGTGATAAATCTGATATGCCTTTATTAAATTAGAGCTTAACGAATTATTTATACCCTATAGGGTAATATGTTCATCTGGTGAATAAAAATTTTTGAAGTGCTTATTGTAGCAGTGCATTGTTTAACCATGTTATGGTTTATTTTGTTTTGTTTTTTTTTTTTTTTTTTTTTTTGTTTAATAGTGATTTATTAATTAGTAAACAGAATGATACTGATAAAACAATTATACTATCACCGACTTTGGCCAAACGCCACTTGCATTATTCACTAAAACTATTTAAACGTATTTTGTCAGTCCTCCGTGCTGCATACTTGCTTCTGGGTATTATTTGAGTAGTAATTTTCAATTTTTTTTTTATTTTTTTTTTGTTCTTATGCACAATAGGAAGGTAGTTTTTCAGTTTTATATTATTTAAAAAACAATAAATACGTACGTAAAAAGGACAATAAAAAAAAAAACCACTTACCAGCTTACAATGTAATATATTTTTTTTTTTATCACTATCAACACTCGAGTGTCAAATAACATTTGAACAATATTATTGAGATTTATGAGTTAATTAAAATTTGGTCGTGTTAGCGCTTTGAACCGTGTTATTAATTGCGTTAAATGTCTACATAAACAACCTTGATTAAATAATAGCCCAAGTACGCATATTGAATGTCAGTATGAAAAACGTATATAGATATGCAATTTGGCTTACAGTTAAAGTATATAATCATGCACTTTGCTGCATATCCGGTATCCATGTTTATTTTATCGATGTATGACCTATACCATATTTTCCAAAAACAAATTCAATAATACATGAAATCACATGAGAGTGGGTTATTTAAATACTTTGCAAATTGTTAAGTTAAATATGACGATACACAGTACATTTTTATGCTTCAGCATATCACTATTGTACATAATTTTAAATTATAAATTATTATAAAACATTTAACATCATATTATAACTTTATAATTAAATTATCATATCTACAATGAAAACAACGATATTATAATCTATTATTTTATCCATCTATCATTAAAGCTCTACTTCTATAGTACGGAATCTCTATCTTCGTGCGCAACCATTGCAAGACTTCAAGTTACATATACAATGCTAACTATATAACATTATAATGAAAAAAATTAAAATATAAATTTACTTGTTAATATGATAATTATTATTATATTTTCATAAAATATATATCATCAGGATTGAGAAAAAGTGATGAATTTTATTGGTTTACAATATTTTTATATTAAAATTCTCCTTCTCCTTTGTAGTCTCTTTTCGCTTTCAACTATATGAGATTGACTTTACAAATCTCATGTATTATTAAATAGCTATATATGTAAAAAAATATGTTTTTTGTTAAAACTATGAACTCGTTATAAATGTAAGTTTAGTCACAGAAAATAGTAAATTATTTTGTACATATACAATTTTTTAATAATGAAGCTTATTTTTCAATATGCATTTATCGTGGTTTATATCATTTCAATTAAAACATACTTACAATTACGCTTATACTTAACTTATACTTTATATATATATTACTATAAATTATATCAATCGAAATAAATCATTATTTTTCTTTTATTAGAATAATTTTTTGGTATGTTATATTTTATTGAAGAATGTACAATTTATACTTTATTTCAAATGAGAATATTTTGTTGCTTATCTACATTTTATTTATAAAGTATAAACTAAGTATTACATTAAAATTATTTAATCAAACCCTCTTTTTCTCTTCTTTTTTATAAACAGATTGTTTTTGGTCTTTTGTATTTTATCTTGCAAATTTAATATTGGTTTTAATTGTGATAGCAGAACAAGACCAGCTAGAGTAATTACAATTTTTTTCATAACTAAATCAGGCCACTAAACTTTGCCAAAATAAGCATAAAGAGGTAGTAAGTTATTAATGGTTATATTTAGAAAATATGATTTTTAGATAATTTAAAAGTAAAAATATTGCACAAATTTAAAAAAATAACTATTCATTTATAAACTTGATAAATTAAAATGTTTATAAATATATCCCAAAAATCTTTATTAATCTACTTTATTCTCAACTACAATAATTAAATAAATGTTACATACTTGTTTTATCTTAATATTGTATACTTACACACATGAATAAATACTGTATCTTGATGTATTTTACGAGTATACCGTATTATACTCGTATTGTGTAATAATAAAATACCATAGGATCCAACACTGTGGTGTTGCTAAATTGCCTATCCAAGACGCCGCGGGATCATAATTTGATTAAGTATTATTGAAATATATTATATAATATATTGTATGCGTACACTACTCATAATGTTCAATGTAAAGATATGAATAAAAAGGGGAAAAAAGAGCAGTCACCCGCTCCCCTTTAGGCCTAAGCTGGTTTTTTTTTTTTAATTTTGCAATCAATTTTTATAAAATACAAGTAAATACCGATGACGATTTGTCATCGAAGAATTAAATTAAATTGGATATGGGTTTAAAGATAATTTAAATTATTTTTCCATTTAATAATGGTAATATAAAATATAATATCGTATATTTATGTGTATTTAATATTATTGACTTTTTATAGCTGTGAATCATTACTCTTACATTCTTAAACATCACATTGGATTTGGATACAAAATAAAACTAACCAAATTTTTGAGTCTCAATTTATCCTCCTCTTGGTGAGTCATAATATTCGTCCCTATCAATTAATTATATCATTTGACAGTAGTACAATCCTTGAATTGCAATTAAACATATTTAGACCATGACATATTTTGTTCAATTGATAAAATTTTATTTATCGGTAAATTAAATTATATGTAATGAGTAATAACACTTTTTTTAAATAGTTTAAATAATACTATAATAAATATGCACCAGTGACATATATATTAAACATTTAATGGCAATAAGCCATTAAAAAAAATATATATATATTTAAATGTTTAATTTATTATATAAATTATTTTTAATCTTTTTTTACAAGATCACTAGAAAATTTATAAAAATAAAAAATACTTATTTATTTTTAATAATATAAATATAATATGATTATGAGATAGTTTATACTATATTAAACTGAAAAATACACAGTTTTAATGACAAAAAAATAAATTCAAATATATTTTTTAAAAAAATGTTATATTGATTGAATTTTTCATTTTTTATATAAATATATATCTGAACTATTATTAAATATTATTTATAGCAAGTAGTATTATCTAGACTGTTACAAACTATACTAAAATCATATTACAATATTCAATCATTGTATCTAATTTAATAATTTAAAAAATAAGATAATAATCATAGTCTTAGAAAATTATTAGTACATATAACACAATTTTTACTTTTATTAATAGATGTAGTTACCTAATACAATTTACATTAATTTAGCTAACAATATATTTTTAATTAGAAAATAAACAATTAATATATTCAGTATTTTTTTTTTAAATAGTTCATTGTAAATTCT